CTCCAAACCCAAACCAAGGCTGGTCTGCCCATGTTCCCTGTGGTGACTGAATTGATGCAAAAAACTGTCACACATTAGACTAACTTGGAGGATGTCTCTGAATTTGAGGGTGACATTTGTTGTAAAAGTCCTTTCTATGAAGTTGTAGGCTTTGAGTCTAGACACTGGGTTTGAACTTAGGTCGTCTGGCGTTATGGGAGTTATTTACTCTTTCCTGTTACTTTATTTTCTTGGATGAATCACAAAAGTAATATATGAGGATTAAACAGCCCACAGAGACTCGAACAATGGTGAGTGGGCTCAGGACAGAAACCCCATCCTTCTGTCAGGCAGGTTTCTCTGGAGATGAGCATGCACCTTTGTGGTCACGGTCCTTTAGTTTTCACGGAGTTTGACTTCCTGATGTTATTCCGTGTGCTCTGCTGAAGTTTTCCCTATGTTCTTGCTTATGTTATTAACTTACAAAACAAACCTTTCCAGGGCCAAGGTCACCTCAGCCAGGCCCAGACAGGTCTGGAGAAATGTCACCATTTCCCTGGAAGTACAGCTATAAACCGAGATCACCTCATAGCATTCCTCTCCCTCACCCTGGAACCGGGATGGAGGTGGGGGGAGGAGGACCAAAAGGTGAAGACAGCCAGCTCTCACCGTGAACAGCGTCTTTGCAATGACCACATCCCGGGCTTAGCATTCAGTCCCAACAGCACTTACCACTGTCCAACTCTTTATTCCCCAGTCAACAAACACGTTTCCAGGTAATTGAAGGGTGGTGTCACAGGGTGGGGACAGGGCTTGGATTTAGAATAAAAATGGTTCAAATTACCAGGGGTAGCTGGTTCTTCCACCATTCTGAGGCCAAGCTAACTAACTTGAGAAGTTACCTAATATCTTCAGAGTCTCAGTTTCAATGTTCTAATGTGTGTATAATGTGTGTATTCAATGGTGATGGTCTTGCCAACTCAAAGGCTCCATTTTCCCAAGACAAGATTGCAATAGTATTCTGATTTTTTTTTTTTAAGGAGATAATATAGGAACAAACAAAATGCACAGACATGGTGTCCATACGGATAAACTCAGGAACCCTTCAAGTGCTCTCAGGCATGGTGAGCTGGAGCGTGACACAGAATCAGGCCTGTGTCTGACACAGAACCCACACACAGTCAGGACTCCAGAGCAGTGAGCTAAGAGCCCACTTACCTTTCAAGAGACCGTGTGTGTGTGTGTGTGTGTGTGTGTGTGTGTGTGTGTGTGTGGTGGGGTACTTAAAAACTTCCTTTATCTCACTGTCTACCCTAGTAGAAACAAAGGGCTGCAAATTTCTTTAAGGCAGGCAAAGACTTGTGTGATGGCTTGTAATTGGGCCAGGGCTAAGTGTGAGAATGAGGGGCTCTGAGGGAAGGAGATGCACACAAAGATGACAGCCTGATGCCTTCCAGGACTGGCAGCAGTTGCTTCCTTGACATGTGGTGAATTCTCTTGTTTTTTTTTTTTTTTAATCTATTTTTGAGAAGGTAACAGATGTTGAAAAATTAGTTGTGCAAATGAAGGATGGCAGCATTGAACTAGAACCTGCAGTTGTTTTCAGTTCTGAGTCTTTAACGTTGGGGACATAGAATGAGCTCCTACACTGGTTTATGATCAAATATCTATGAAGAAATCCCAAAGATGATGCATGGGCTTCTCAGCGGTCCATGGTTCTATGGGTCGATGAGACTGGACAGTAGCTATGCACACACACACACACACACACACACACACACACACACACACACACACACCCCTACTCCGAGCACTGACACTGGGACCCACAGTGGAAGGCAGTCATGGGTGTAGGGTAAAGAGCCCACCCCGGGAGGTCACCATTGACAGTCCTTCGACTGGCCATGGAGGCTCACCACTTGCTAATGACTGCCTCTGGAAGGCTCTGGAGCTTCAGCATTCCCACGTCGGTGTGAACTGGTACGTGTTCAACGTTCTCATAGCTGCGGTGTTGAATTGGTATGTGTTCAAAAGCTGGAAAGCTAACATGCAGTGTTTTCCCAGCTCAGGGAGCTCCAGCCTGGAGAGGAGGTGCAGATTCCGGCTATGTGCTTGCTTATGACCACCAGGGAGACTGCTGTTCAGAGTGCAGGGGAGACACTCTCTCATGACCACCAGAAATCCTCGTTACTCACTCTTATGGGAATGAGGCTCAAGCCACAAACTGGACAAAGGAAATGTCACTCGGGTCTTATTGAACCCCCCTCACAGGCCAGGAAGAGCAGCTTCTGAGAATTACCTAATACAGGAAAGGGATTAGGGAGACTTTCCTTGGATTAGAAATTGCTGAGCAGCAGGATTTGGACATCACCGAGAGGGTGTGTCCATTCTTGCAGGCCTTGGTCACAAAGCATCCATTTACCCCTTTACAGAGGATTAATTATATGTACAGTGATGTGTGCCCAGTCACCATTAACCCATGCTTGACTGCAAAAACAATTTATTAATTATTTCTGTGGCCCCACCTGTCTTTTCAGAAGGTTCTGTTCCAGCTGCTTCCTTCCCCACCCCATGCAACCTTGCTTCACAGACCCCCGGGACTCTGTGCCAGCACCTGAAACCTTCCCTGGGTGTATTACTGACTTCCTGACCCATCTGCCGGATCACACGGATTTTGGCACAAGCTAAGCTTTTGTATTTTGGATGAGGATCCCCATTGTCTCCTCTGCTGTGCCACTGACTGAATTTTCAGAGAACTCATGATCTGACCTGCAGAGCCATTTCTTGTCAAACCCTACCCCTTCCAAAGGCAGGACCCTCCCCTTGGCTGTGCCCTGGCAGAGCTGACTAGCTCCAGGCCTCTTACTTCAGGCAGTTGTCACCTTTTAAAGGCCGACGGACCTTTGCCAGAAGTCTCAGCTGTGCTGACTCTAAGAATGCTGGGAACGCTTGATGGGCTTTTTGGGTCATCGCTAACTCCAGGCCCTAAGACTGCTCTTTCATTCCAAATGACAACAGCTCCTAGTTTTTCTCTGACAAGAAGCAATATCCCTTGGCCAAACAACAACAACAACAAAGATTTTCCAAATCAACAGCAGGTGGGATACCAAGAGTTAAGGCTTTGACAGTTGGTACAAGCCCTCAATGTTATCATGTGGCCTCAGGCTGCTCACCCTTGAGCCATCCGTTGAACAGTAGAGATAAGTTACTCATTAGGCTGACACAGACTAGAATGTGTGCACTAGGCAGAAGGGAGCACAGATAGTCCACCCTCCACCTCATCAGCCACACGCCGACCTCCCGCTGTGTGCATCCTACCGAGCAGGACATGCGTCTCCTGACATCACGGCACCAACACTGCCGCCTGGCACCATGCTTGCTAACGAACGAATGAACAAACGAACGCACCTTTGCTATGGATTTGAACAGTGCTTCATATTTAAACCCTTACACTGTTGAGCATCGTCCTAGTTTTATTTCTGTTGCTGTCCAGATCAAAAGCAACACAGAAGAGGAAAGGGGTTCATTTGGCTTACAACTCCAGGCTACAGTCCATTACTATGGGGGAAGTCAAGACATGGACCTAAAGCATCGTCGACCAATAATTAATCTCTCTTAGCTTTAGTTTTTATCTACAAAATGAATTGGTACCATGTATGTATATTGATAGATTATGTATAAATATACATAGGTATGCATACATCTCTCTACTTACGTACATAGAGATGCTGAGAGTAAGACACCACCGGAATGGGGGAGTATCTCAGTGGTACTTGCCTGGGGTTCTATCCCTAGTGCTGCAAACAAGAATAAATTAAAGATAATAGATGGATGGCAAACACTGAAAAGGGATTCTCAATTAAAGTCCCTTGTTTTAAATAAATATATTGCATTTACCTAAAGATTATACAAACACATACTGTCTTTGGCTTTTAGATAAAGCTCAGTAAAATAACAGAGCTCCAATCTCATTCTATTAACCAAGACTGCAGTCTAGCACTGGCTTGTTCAGTTGATGGGACAGAGACGTCAGTCACTTGCCCCCACCTCAGGGGAGGCGAATGGCATATTACACAGAGTCAAAGCTGTAAGGGAAGTGGCCACTGGAAACGAGGCTCCTGACTGCTATGGGGCAGGGATGACGCAGGGAAGGGTGGCACAAGCCAAGACAGTTGCAAGAACTGCCATGAAGCGGCTGAACCACCCCTCAGGCCTCTGAAGGGACTGGGGCCTAGCCTTCCTGCTGCCCTACTTGGTGAATCTCTTGAAGAATGGACAGTTGGCAGGAGTTCCGGGTCCTCCAGGCCAGAAAGGGAGAAAAACCACTTTAGGATGACACTGGGAGTGTGAGGAAATGCCAATCCCACAGAGGGTTCTCTTTTTCAGCTGTCTGGGCCACCCTCACTAATACAGCTGATATCCTAAAACTATCTTCCCAAATTACACTGCATTTTCCCCAGTGACACTTTTGAGGTAACTGGGACTGTTGGTCTTGAAGTACAGGATGTTAACTACTAGAAACCAACTACCCACCACCAACCCAGTGTTTGCACAGCAATTCGAGAACATAAAGTCTGTCAGCTGTTTCCGACGTGAGAGTCAACAAGGCTGAAAGAGGAAGGGAGTTGATGTGGGCATGGCTAAATTTAGTAGACTTTATCCAGGACCCAGCAGTGCCTAATTTAGGGGACACGGATAACAGTAAAAATTATGAATAAATAACTTGCCAGTTGGTACACACCTTTAATCCCAGCACCCAGGAGGCAGAGGCAGGTGGGTCTCTGTGAGTTTGGAGGCCAGCATGGTCTACAGAGAGTTTCAGGACAGCCGAGTCTACACAGAGAAACCCTGACTCAAAAACAAACCAACAAACAAAAACTAGCTCAGTAATTTACAGAGAAAGAAATTCCCATCTCATCCTTTTATGCTTATAGGACTTTCCCAGGGGAGACATGAACACGTATCTGTGGATGCCAGTTTGGGTACCAAAAACAGATCAAAGAAACGGTTTTACCTAAGTCTGCTTTAGTAAACCAGTGAGTTTATTTGGGTTACTAAATTACCAACGCAAAGGCAGTTGCATCAGTGAAATACGCAGCAAGGGTGGCAAATTCACAAAAGTCACAAGGATGGAATCCTTGGCTCCCTGTAGGACTCACAGACAGCTCCTCCAGAAAGCCTTATTGTTTACAGAGGCTGAGAGGACTTTGTGATGGAGAATTTTATCAGCTTCCTGAATCTTATAAGCCTCCCTTCTCCCTCCAGAAATACATGTTTAAATCCAGAGGAGAGTTACACAATACTATATGAGCTAAAGTCAAACCTGTAAAGAAATTTCTGAATGAAATTTTGAGTTCCCGCAGCACCCTGGTAACTATAGCATACAGTTAGTAAAATACAAAAATGCAATGATTATTAATATGCTGCGATTAACAGTTCAGTTTATTAGTTGTTTTAATAAAGCAAAACTTTATAGTGAAAATAACATAATAAGCTTTTTATGATATGCTTACAGTATGACAGACACAGGTGGAGACACCCTTAGTAACAGTAACACAATGTGTGGGCACAAGCGCAAGAGCTGACGGTTTGAAGGCTGAGTAGCTTCTGATGCCACTGAGATCCTGGTTGGAAATTACACCAGTGCAGCTTCTGAGCATCACTCATCTTAAGCTTAACAAGATAAAAATTCCACTCTATCAGCTATTATGAAGCTGTGGAGAGGAATTCCTTGGGCTGTGATATTTACTCCAGAATCTCATTCCCTTTTGGAGGCCTCTTCATCCGTGAATAGGGACTTACTGTGTCATCCATCACAAAATCATACAGTACTTTGATCCAGGAGTTGTATTGGGGGAGTTTATCATAATATTCAGCTGCTATTTTCCTCACCTGGAAGTGAACAAACACAGAAAGGTGAGCAGTGAGTATTACTGAGGCCTCAAGATAACAGCTGAGTGTCTGACAGACAGAGGACAAAATACCAAATGAGCCAAAGGGCAATGCCTTTGCTTATGATCCTTCAGACAGCCTGCAGTTTTTCATGAAATAAGATGTCTGCAGATCATATGACATAAACAGCTCCAGCATAACCCACACTAGACTTAGGGCAAAGTCCGTAGCAATCAGAAAGATGCTAGAGTTCCAAATAGTAAAATAATAAAGCCAGTTCAGAGCCTGGACAAGCACTTGAGTCAAGACACTCCTGAGACTGAAAATGCTCTAAAGATCATCTTTAGCATCAGAAGTAGATGAACTGTAGACATTATAAAGACATAAAGCTCAAAAACCTCAAATCCTCAATACTAAGAATTAAGCCTGGGGTATCTATCAGCAAGGTCCAATTCATACACTGACACATGATGGCTGTGATTCTTAGAAAGTTGTGATGAACAAACTGAAAAAAAAAATGTATGCTTAAAAAATGTTTTGGCAGGGTGTGGTGGTACATTTGCATTCCTTTAATCCCACACTTGGGAGGCAGAGGCAGGCCGATCTCTCTGAGTTCCAAGCCAGCCTGGTCTACAGAGTGAGTTCCAGGACAACCAGAGCTGTTATACAGACATATACTGTCTTGAAAAACAAAACAAGAAAAAAAGTTTTGTGTTGGAGCTACAGAAATAGCTCAATGGCTAAGAGCACTGGCTGCTCTTCCACAGGACCCCAGCACCCACATGGTGGCTCACAACTGCCTGTTAACTCCAGTTCCAGAGGTTCTAACACTGTCTCTTGGCTTTTGAAGGCAATAGGCATGCACATGGTACACGTATATGCTTGCAAACATACATATATATAAAACAAGAATTAAAATGAAAAATGCTTGTGAGGTGCAGAACTCATTAAAAATATGAAAAAATCCTTTAAAAGTTAAACTATTAATATACATAGGGACTGTGTAATAAATGTCAGGTAGTTACTGAATAAACAATTCCTCATAGACAGAAGAACAGGAAAGGCAGGGCTTTCAAACTTTAGGGCTGTTAACTGTGCATTAACAAAAGAGTGGGGAGACAGGAAGGAAGAGCAGGCAGTGAGGAGTCACTGATGTGCCATAGGCTTTAAGTGAGTGCCGTCTGAACTACACTAAGTTTTTAATGTGGGGACTGCTCCAGGAAAATACACATTATTTGAGGGAAATTTTTTGCTTAATGGCTGACTGATTCTTCTCCTTAAATTGTGTTTTTTTTTTTTTTTCTCAAAGTATGAGTTCCCTAAAAAAATAAACTCAGTTCCCTTGTCACAGATGAGGGAAACAGAGGCTGCCAAACTATGTCTGCTAGTACAGGTGTCTCCACAGACTCGGTGCTGCTTTCTCTCCAACTGAAATGCCGAGTGGGATATAAGGCAGCCCTCCTTGCTCTTCACCTGTTTCCCAATCAGCCCTTTGACTCACTTACACGTGTACTGTGCAGGTAACAAAAGGACTCTTTGCTTTCTTCCTTAGTTGTGCCAACTTAACCTGTATTTCAACTCCAAATTCTGCAACACTTATTTCCAAAGCACACTTGTTCTACAAAACCCTATCACCATTATACCTGGTAATCTAACCTTGATGAATATTTTTTATGGATTTTTATGGATTACCCACTGAGCCAGTTTGTTTACAGTCTTTTAACCAGATCCAAAGATATAATCACATATTGCAATTGGTTGTTGTCATGTTGCATGTAATTTTTCAACAGTGCTTAAAAATTTGAATGAGTATGACATCATGAAGCATCCATTAGGGCTCCCTTATACACATCATCTCTTTTTTAAGTAAAGAAAAACTATTTTTCGTATGTATTACCTTTTTTTTTTTTTTTTTAGAATTATGGAGAGTTTCTTCTTTCTTTTCTTTTTTTTTCCTAACAGAATAGGCTACTCACTTTTTTTTTTGAGACAGGGTTTCTCTGTGGAACAGTCCTGGCTGGCCTTGACCTCACAGAGATCCTCCTGTGTCTGCCTCCCCAGTGTCAGGCTACTCACTGTGAAGATGGGAAGGCTGTTGAGAAGGCTTGGCAGGAAAGCTACTGACTGAGTGGCTAGTTTTGGGAAAGATGGAAAGAATGAAGGGTGCAGTGTCTTCTTGTGCTTACTTCACACATAACACACTGAAGGTCTACTGTCCAGGCAGAGCCCCTGCCAGGGAAGGGTAATAACATGGGCACTGACACTGTCCACTCCACAGATCCCTTATGAAGGTCACCTTCCTTCCCTGTGTGTTACAAAAGCAACACATCTTAGCCAAATACAACAGCTTAACAGTGATGAATGTTCCATGAACGGATGCTTCACCACACAGAGCAGCAGTTTTCTAATCCTGAGCTAGTTTAGCAGGTAAGAGATTTGCTCGTCTGAACTCTAAGCATGACCACTAAGCCTAAGGATCCAAAACAGAAGATATGAATCCTCAGTGAAGTTAGGCAGGCAGACAAAGGATATGTTTTCCTTTTTACCTGACAAAACAGACTAGATCACTGTTACAATAAGCAAGCCATGACTAATTTGATTACAACATCATCAAGTCTTTCACTTACCAGGGGCAGGTTTTTTCCAGGAATGTTAGGGAAGTCATGGTGTTCATTATGGTAGCCCACATTGAAGGTCAGTAAATTCAGAGGCCCATAATATGAGTATGTTTCATGTCCCTTTAAGAACATGTAATGTTCGGATATAAAATGCCCAGCAATTGGGTGCAAACCCAGGCCAAGCAAGGAGGCTGCCAACATGTAGACTAGAGATTTAACTCCAAAAACATAGTAAACTATAATGTCAAAGATGATCTGTATCACAGTATTGATGATTTCCAGAGAAGTAATTGGTTTGGGATTGATGAGTAGGGGTCTAAAAGCATAAAAGAGAGGCTGAAGGACAACCCAGACAAGCTTCCTGAAAGTGGTGCAGAAGAACCAGCCCTCAAAATCAGTAGGAATATCTACGTCGATGCCATCAGCTCCCAGGTACCGATGATGATCCATGTGGTATCTCTTAAAAGAAACAGAATATGGAACTCCCAAAGGGAGGTTAGCAAATATTCCAAACCAGCGATTCCATAGAGCTTTGTGGTGGCCGAAGGGGAAATTGTGGGAAATCTCATGGATCCCCAGAGTCATTGAATGGTTAAGGCAGCTGCCAAAGACATAGGACCAAAATATGACCCATTTCCAGTCCAAGTCTTTCACTAAGTAAAATGAAGCCAACTGGACGAGAAGCATCACAGTTATGATCCATTTCAAATTGGGGTCAGGTTTCATCAAGGATTTGATCTCTGGATACTTTGCTGTAAGGAAAGAAAATACAAAAAATCAGGAACAAAGAAAAGCACAACAGTTCAGCAACTATAATTAATGCAATTAGATTTTCCCCTTTTCTAAATCACAATACTTCCCCCTTATAGACTTCACCTCCTAAAGGGAAGGAATGTATTCTGGTAAGAAAATCACAAAATAGGATGACACAACAATTTATGAAAGAAAAATTAAATTCCGAATTCTCTTGTATTAAAATAATTACATCTATGCTTAGACAAATACACACATACTTTCTTTTTTTTTTAAAAGATTTATTTATTGATTATATATACAACATTCTGTCTCCATATATGCCTGCAGGCCAGAAGAGGGCACCAGATCTCATTACAGATGGTTGTGAGCCATGTGGTTGCTGGGAATTGAACTCAGGACCTCTGGAAGAACAGCCAGTGCTCTTAACCTCCAAGCCATCTCTCTAGCCCCCTACACATATTTTCTTTTCTTTTTCTTTTTGTATGTGTGAGTGTTTTGCCTGCACTATGTCTGTGGGCTGTGTGGGTTCAGTGCTTACAAAGGTCAGAAGAGGAGATTGAATTCCCCTAGAACTAGAGTAACAGACAGTGTGAGCAACCATGTAGCACTGGGAACTGAACTTGTGTCCTCTCTAAGAGCAACACTGAGCTATCTCTCTAACTGAAGCTCTGGCATATTTATCTTATATAAACCATTAAATTGTCACAGCTGACACAAGAAAGAACATAACATTTGTTTTTATACATCTTCAAATTATAAAACGCATTTTCCTGGTTCTCTCAGACCAGTCAACTTCCTCCAAGTAATTCTACTCTGAATCTTCACGGAACTTTAAAGCCAACTAAGCACAGTGGCACTCACCTGTATCTGAGCATGCAGGAAGCTGAGATGGTTAGCAAATTCCAGGCTAGTCTCAACTACAAAGTAAGATCCTGACTCCCCAAGCCCATATATAAGGGCCTCATATAACTGTAGGAAAGGACAGTACTGACCTTATAAAGTGTTACCAACACAAAAAATCAAGCTGGACCTCCTCCCTACACCAAAAGAGTTAGCCCAAAATGGATCACAGGTCTAAGTAACAAAATTGTAGAACTCAAGAAAAAAAAAATAGTAAATTGAATCTGCATTAAAATCTTCTTTTTCGGAAGGGCAGTGGTGGCATACACCTTTAACTCCAGCACTGGGGAGGAAGAGGCAGGCAGGCTGAGTGAGTTCCATGACGGCCAGGACTGTTTCACAGAGAAACCCTGCCTGGGGGGGGGGGGGGAGGACCAAAAACTTCTTTTTCTATAACAATACCATCAAAAGAGCACGTGACAATCTAAAAGACAGGCAGACACATTTGCAAGTCACCTATTCCATAAGAGAATCATATGGAATATTCATATAGAATATGCAGAGTACTTAAAACTCAACTAATAATCCAAATTTTAAAAAAGAAAAAAAAAACTAATAAAAAAGATTTATAAACGGCCCCTCCCCCAAAAAAACACATGAAGGATACTTGATATCGTTAGGAAAATACAGAGACCATAAAACCATTGTCATTTAAAGACAGTTGTAACACAATGGTAGAGCATCTGACTAGCTTGCTCGAGGTGCTAGATTAAAACTGCAGTAGAAGGAAGGGTGGAGTCAGAAGGAGAGGTTAGTGGGTAACCCGGAGATTACTCCTTTGAACCCACACAGAAAGCACGCTGTGGTGGTGCACATCTGTAATCCCAGCAGGAGTATGGCAAGGAACCTGCTGTGAGGGAAGACTGTTCCAGAGAAGCCAGGAAGCTTTGGGGCCAGCCAGCTTGAAATGCCCAGCACAAAAGCAGAAACAAGAGAGACCCTGCCTCAAAGCAAGGTGGAAGGAGAAAGCCCACTCCTGGAAAGCTGTCTTCTGACCTCCACAATACACACTATGGTGTGTGTGTGTGTGTGTGATGGGAGCACACCCACATGCCTACACATGAAAACACAGGCAGTAACTAGATAGTGGAGAAACCAGAATCTCCCCAAGGATTCACAAAATGATGGCATATAGGGGGCGGAGCTGGTCACTGGAGACAGGGCCACAGAAGACATGCTCCTGCCTGCTCCTGCTCGCTCCTTCCTTCCTTCCTTCCTTCCTTCCTTCCTTCCTTCCTTCCTTCCTCCCTCCCTCCTTCCCTCCCTGTCTATCTCTCTCTCTCTCTCTCTCTCTCCCTCCTTCCTGGCTAGCATGAGGGGGAACCGGCCTTTATTCCTTCAAGACCTCTCCACCATTATTTTACCAGATTACCACCCAAGCAATGGCAGCCGTGACCACCGATGAAAGCCATCAGCCAAAATAAGTCCTTCCTCCCTTGTGTTGTTCCGGTATCTACCACAGCAGTGAGGCAATGACTAGCCAAACCTAAGAGCCCAAAGCAACTGACAGCACAGCCGGTGATAAAGTTTCACCTTTCCAACCTAGCCACTCAATTCAAGTTCTCCAGAAGAAGCCAGGGGAGCAGCTCTCAGGTGGAGAACCAACCAGTACCAGGAATCCCTGAGTTTGGATTCCAGGACTAGGAGGGTAAAGATCCATTTTGAATGGCATCTGTCTACTCTTATGTGTGAAACACGAAATTAAGTTTAGCTACTACTGAGCAAACCAGGACCTCAGCCACCCAATGGGCAAAGATTTTTTTTTTACGAGTGTAAAAATGGTGGGTATAAGACAGTTCCTCGTCTTTGGTGGTCTTTTATTGATTTCCTCAATTTTTAAAGAAACAGCAAAAGTTAAAATAAAAAACTTTTCGATCTCTATCTAGCACCAGGAAAGAAAAAAAAAAAGCATATTCTTCGGCTGCAGTCTAACCCGGATGGGAATAGTCTTCATAACATTACCCCCCACACAGCTTTTTTAAGTGGCCAGACAAGCACTGGAAAGGGAGAATTAAAGTGGATGATATTATGCAAAGCTCTCAACTCAAGAACATACCGTTCCCTTTAAAAGCAGGGACGAGACTTCTCTGTCTCACTCGGAAACCCCTGATACCCTCCAGACTCAGTTGGGCCTCAAGTCCGGGAGGCTCAGGCTCGCTCGCGCCTTTCCTATGGGGCCAGTCCGGCAGAAGACTGGGAAAGGACGCCCGGAGGAGCCGTGCAGTCCGCGAAGCCTCGGGCTACCGGGAGCTGGTCCCCCGCTAGGCCTGCGGCTGGCTGGAGCACGTGATCAAGGATCCCGGGGCCCCGGGGATGCCCCAGGACCACGCCCTGAGCCTAGCGGGCGGTGGGGCTCGAGCCCAC